TGGGGTGTTTAGAATTTCTATATCTTCTTCATTTAACTTTGAGAATTCATATGTATCTAGGAGTCTGTCCATTTCTTCTGTGTTTTCCAATTTATTAGAGTACAGTTTCTTGAAGTAGGTATTGATGATCCTCTGGATTTCTGCTGGATCTGTTGTGACTTCACTTTTTTCATTCTTAATTGCATGGATTTGAGCCTTTTCTTTCCTTTTGTTGATAAGGTTGGCTAAAGGTTTATCAATTTTATTCTTTCAAAAACCAACTTTTTGATTCATGGATTTTTGTATCTTTCTCTTAGTCTCCACTGCATTGATTTCTGCTCTGATCTTTATAATTTCCTCTCTTGTATGAGGTTTGGGTTTGTTATGCTCTTCTTTTTCTAGGAGCTTGAGGTTCTGCATTAGGTTATTTATTTGAATTCTCTCTGTTTTCCTAATATGGGCATTCAGTGCTATGAATTTCCCACTGCTTTCATTGTGTCCCATAGATTCCTGTATGTTGTACTGGCATTATCATTTACTTGTAGAAACTGTTTAATTTCCTCTGTGGCCCTCTGGTTATTCAGGAGGGTGTTATTCAGTTTCCATGTGTTTGTGGGAGTTTTGCGTTTTCTTATGTTATGGATCTCCAATTTTATTGCACTATGGTCTGATAATATACAGGGGGTAACTTCAATTCTTTTACATTTACTTAGACATGTCCTATGAGCTAGCATGTGGTCTATTTTGGAGAATAAGCCATGTTTAGCCAAAAACAATGTGCATCCTTATTTTGTGGGTTGGAACACTCTGTATACATCTATTAAGTCCATTTGTTCAATAGCTTGGTTCAGTTGTACAATTTCATTGTTAATTTTTTCTAGATGATCTGTCTATTTGTGATAGTGGGGTATTGAGGTCCCCCACTACAACTGTATTAGTGCTTTTTTGGTTTTTCGTGTCCATTAATATTTGTTTTATATAGTTGAGGACATTCATATTTGGTGCATATATATTTAGGATTGCCATCCCCTCCTCTTGGACTGTTCCCTCCACCAGGATGTAGTGACCATCTTTGTCTCTCTTAATTAGCTTTAGTTTGAAATCTACTTTGTCTGCAAATAAGATTGCTACCCCTGCTTTTTTCTGGGTTCCTGTCATGTGTAGAACTGTTTTCCATCCTTTTACTTTCAGTCTATGAATTTCTTTTTGAGTTAGGTGTCTTTCTTGTATACTGCATATTGCTGGATTTTGCTTCTTAATCCATTCTGTCAGTTTATTTCTTTTCATTGGTAAATTGAGGCCATTAACATTGAGAGTTATAATTGATAGATATTGACTCATCCTTGTCATGATATTTTACTGTTGTTGGCTCTTTTATTTTTTATTTCTTTTTCCCCCTTTCCCTTTAGTTTC